TTCAAGTGTATAAACCTTGACAGACTCAAGTTTTGCGTAATAGAAAGCTGCTTACATAAGTGATTCACTCAAGGAATGCAACTACTATTTAGATAAAAAGAGGCAGCCTGGGATTAAAAATGTTTGGATAAGCAGTATTATGTTTCCTTCAAATGGAATACAGTGGGGAAGGACTAAAATAATCTAAATAAATTCAAGAAATAAAGACAGATATAATGAAGCTTTCTCTAATGCTTGCTTCAGGAAAAGTACAGCTGGTATCCTTAAAGATTCAGAGAAAAAAAAAAAAAAAGCAGAGATATGAAGTTGTCATTTGACTGAAAGCAAAACAAAGTAGCATTACATGGACAGCTCACCTTATATGTTTATTTTAACCAGGAACTCTAAATAAGAATTAAAACTTACAAAATGTTCCCCCAGGTATAAGCTACAGAAAAACAAATCAAGCATTCAGGATAAAATTTATAAAAACTCTAAATATTTCTAATATATAATCCTAATTTACTAAGAATTAGGACAGTAAGAATACTAGATAATATCTTCAGGTAGAATAAGAAAACATTTAATGTAACACTTTATCCCAGGCTTTTGTAGGAGTTTGTTACCATATGTGGACATACCTAAGGAGTAAAAGTTTGTACAGAAACTGATTCTGTTGACTTCCAAAACTGTCATTGGTTTCAGTAAGGCAGGAGTTCACTTCTCATGTGAGCTTGGAGGAAGTGGATTTAGTTGTGGACCACTAAAAACGAGATAACTGAAGACTGGCAATTGTAGCTTTACCTATTTCGTGCATGGTTGTATACACATTGCAGCATGGGTTAGGGGAACTGAAAATGGACAAACGTGATTGCAATCCAAAGATCTTCATATATTCTAAGGAGTTGATTTACAGCTTTAAAATCTCCATTCTGTCTGGAGATAACACATGTTGTAAAGCTACACTAAGCCACTGCTTGTCAAGATCTTCATTGTGTATTCTTATACCCAAATTGTCTTGCCAATAAGTTATCTCACTCATTTGGTACTGTGAGGAAGACTGCTTGTAAAAATCACATCAGTATCAGGGGATGTTCTAACTGCCGGGTTCATTTGGGTTCTTCTGCGTTGGAAAACATCTCATGTTAAACTAACTCAAGTGAGAATAACCAGACTGTGAAACAGCAGTGAAGCTGTGTGTCTACACACTCTGTTCTTGTTTGATTGCTATAGTAAAATTTTGAAAGGTGTAGTGCCAAAAGATATTCTTTGTGCTCTTTGAATTTTCTCATGTTTGGAGGCATGGGGAAGGATGTCTTTGTTCTTTGTGAGCACAGTAAAGGGCTGTGGAAAGGCATTTTAGGACTGAGGCTCTTGAGCAGATCTAGCCTATATTCACACTGAGGAGTGATTATGTCAGCAGCCATCAAATCATGCTAATTGCAGGTTTTACCTATACAGCAGAGAATATCAGAGTAATGGGATCAGTATGCAGATGGAACTAACATTAGGAGCAATATTTGAAATAAAATGGAAATAAAATTCAGTGTTGACAAGGTTTTAAGGGTATGTGTATAGCGTACTGTTTAACACCAAGAAGAAGCACATGAATTAGTTCAACCATTAAAAGTAATATGACTGCAGTAATATCATTTTCTGATGCCTGATTTTCAGATTATATTTATGTCAGAAGTAACAGCTTTAGATCTAGACTGGGTATTTCAACTCGACACTAGATTGTGTCATGAGGACAATCCCTACAAAGAATAATTAGAAAATGCTTACAGACTTTTTTGGGGCAATAAATGCTAAGTAGTCTTTATTAATTATAAAAACCCATATAAACTGAGAGAATAGAGGAGTTGGAGAACATTTTGTTATTCTAATCATCATCTGTTAGTGACAGCCGACCTGCTTCTCCACTTCCTGGCATCTTCAAAAGTCACTAACATTTCTGCAAAGAAAACATAATGCTCTGAAAGGCAGTATTTTACATCCGCTGTGCTCAGCTGAAAATTACTTTATGAGATCTAAGGTAGTGAAGGATTGGACCCAGATGAAACTACAAATAGTTAAGGCTCATATTTCTACATGACCTGTGATGAAAGAGAAGAAGGTGCAGTATCTCCAGAGACCTGGGGAGATGTTCAGGGAGTGTTATAATTAATACCTAATCGTTCCATTTGACAACTCTTAATCTCATTTTCTGAGGCTTGTGTCCTACAGATTGTTTATAAATTAGATTGGTGGTCATAGTAACTATTCCCCTGGGTTTGCAAAGTGAAGTGAGCCTAAAATGACTTCTACTTTTCACAGCAGGGTCAATTGAGCACATCATCCTTCTCAGCAGGATAAAATGAGTACTGTGCAGTCTACTCTGGGGCAAATCATTTCCCTTTCATACAATCTTAGTAAATGAACTGTGGAAGACTCTATAGGTTTAAGAAGTAAAATACTGTCCTTAGAATACAGTGGAGCTCTTGCAGAGTTTTGGCTTGTGTTGAAGCTTCTCTGCAGGTGACACAGACCGGCCAGGCTATCCTTATAGCTGCAACACACATCTCCATTGCATGCTTGTGGCGTGGTTCTTCTGTATGTAGTAGAGCAACATCATCTCCATGGAACAAAGGACTTTCCATATCTCTTCAGAACAGAAGAGGAACTGATACCTCTTTGCATGGTGTTTAGCAAGGATGTGACTTTTTTTTTTTTTTTTTCTGTTCTGGGAAACAACTGTTGCATCACAGAGAAGCAAAGTTTTGGAAAGTTTATTACAGTGTCAGAGAGAAAAGATGCTGGTCTTCACTGCCCACACTGCATATTCACTTTGGAGTCAGAAGGTCAAGGTGCAGGCCAAAATCAAGCTGAAGTTAATACCATTATCTTTACCAGGACTTTGGAGCAGTAATTTCAGAAAGAAACATACAGTTAAGAAAATCTATAAATTTTATGCCATAAAAGACAAATTTCAAGTCAGTCACTTCCAGGACTTGCAGGAGGAACTCATCATAAAAGTTCATTTTTTCTTTCATGTTAACAGTGGTTAACTTTTTTTTTTGGTATGGTAAAGTAATTTTTAAAAAGTCACTTTTCAGTGTAAGTGCTTATTTCAGAATCCTGCACATGCTTGTTGTGGGCAGCATATTGCTCCCAGGCCACAGAGCTACGTGTCTGTTTAATCTATCTGCTACAACACCCTTTGGCAAGGAGTTCCACAGCACAGCTACCCGTGACATCAAGAGTGAGGTCCTCTGGTATATTTTGCACTTGCTTTTTATCAGCTTAATTTGTTATCATCCCCCAGATTATTATTATTATTATTTATTTAGATATTAGGTATAGATATTAGATATACATATTGGAAAACAAAGTAATATGGTTAACACAAGGATGTTCTCAATATGTTACTTCCAGCTTTGGTTGTTCTAACTTCACATATTTTTATTTTTTTTTTCTCTGTAACACCACACAATTATTCATAAAATATATAATAATGTACTTGACCATTTGTGTATATGTACATCATCATACTTTATGAAAACACTCTATACTGAGCCTGTGCAACACTATTTTACATACACAGACCAAATCTGACATTTGTTTTGTCGTGACCTTTTTATATATACAGTTCAGTAGCTTGTGTGAGATTTTCTTTTTAATTTAAATCTGTGTAATGTTCATAGGGAGATAGTTTCTTAGAGGCTCAAATTAGTTTCATTCACTAAATATCTGAAAAAAAAAAAAAGGCTTTCACGGTATTAAATGTAAAAATCTGAAATTTGTGTTATCTGCAGTTTAAAGTAATCTACTTGGAAGAAATGAAAGATCTGCAGGTGACTACGAACGCTGGGTGATTTATTGATTATTTTTATCGACTTATTAAGTAGCGGAGCATAGACAATACTTGTGACCTGATGAAAAGGAGCTGAGTTTGCATCGGCAGGTCTGAGACTCAGCGCGCCTCTCCAGCAGAAGGGGAGAGCAACCTGTTTCGGTCGTTTAGTGGTGGAGGAATTTCACCCTTGCAAGCCCAAACTATACCACAAGCCCAAATGCACGGGCTTTCAGGGGGACAATGCACACACGATCACGGCCAGAAGCCCGTTTGGGCGGGCTGCTGGTGGCCGGTGCCCGCTCCTGGTCCCGGGGCTGCGGGGATGGGGATTATCCCCATGGGGATAGGGGATGAGGATAGGGATGGGGATGGGGATGGGGATGCAGGACGCTATCTTCCTGCCACCGACAGCGGAAAAGTTTGGAGAAGAAAGGGAGGATGATGAGGGAGAAGAGGCGGGGGGGTGGTCCCTATTCCCCAGCCCGATCCACCTGCTGTCATAGTACCCGTCCCGGGTCGGCGGGACACAACACCTCCCCGCACACCCCCCAAAACCCCAAAGCCCCCCTCCTCACCGCCGCCCCCCGGGCAGCCCCCGGCTGTCCCGACCCCGCCTCCCGCCGGCGGGGCGAGGCGAGGCGCGGCGAGACGCGGCGCCCACTGCAGCAGCGGCCCGGGAGGAGGCGTGCGGCGGGGCTGCAGCCTCCAGGCAGAGGGAGAGAGCCATGGGGAGCTGCCGCGGAGAAACTCCCCGCCGGATTTCGCCTGCCGGTGGCCTGCTCTGAAGAGAAGGAGAAGGAGGAGGAGGAGGTGGAGGAAGAGGAGGAGGAGAAGGAGGAGGAGGAGGAGGAGGAGAAGGGGCCGTGGCAGCGGCGGAGTGTGCAAGTTGCGCTCTGCCCTTCTTCCCCCCGGGCCCGTCTCCTGCCAGCGGAGCAGCATGCGGACTGGCCCCCGCGCCCCCTCGGATGCGCGCTGCCTGCCGCCGCCGCCGCCCTCAGCGCGCCCCGCCGCCGGCCGCGCTCAGCCGGGCGCTGGATGAGACGGCGGGGGGGGCACATCGCCGCTGCGCTGCCTCCTGCTGCTCCTTCATGCGGGCGGCTGCCGCTCCGCCGGGGGTAGCACCGCCGCCGCCGCCGCTGCCGCCGCCGAGGAGGAGCCGGGCCGCCGCCGCCCCCCCGCCGCGGGGCCCCGCATGGCGTGCTACCTGGTCATCAGCTCCCGGCACCTCAGCAACGGCCACTACCGCGGCATCAAGGGCGTCTTCAGGGGACCGCTCCGCAAGAAGGGCGCCCGCTCGCCGGTAACGTCCACCTCCTCGCTCCCTCCCTCCCTTGCCCCCCGCACGGTAGGAGCGGGGCCGGGTGGGGGAGGCCGGACGGGGGCACGGGGACGAGGGGTGCGGGGAGGGAGGCTCCGAAAAGTTTCTCCGTGGGGGGCTCGAGGGGAAAGGGGAGCGGGGGTGGCGCCGAGTGGCGGCTCCCCCCCTAGGAGAGGTCGCTGGAGAGGCTCCGCGGGTGAAGGATGCTCCAGGGAGTGGGGGCTTGGTGCCTCGGCACGGGTTTGGGGGCTGCGGAGGACGAGGGAACCGAGCCGGCTTTAGGGATGGATGAACCCCTGCCGTTGGGGTGCTGTGAGCTGCCCGGAGAGCCCCGACCCTAAGCGGAGCGTGGGGGAGTTTGGGGAAGGTCCCGCCGGGCCCCGAGCCGCCGGGCTGCTGGGGTCGGTCCCCGCGGGTCGCTGCAGGGCACCGGGGGGCGCGGGGGGAGGTGCCGTGATCCAGGTGTCCCTGGGGAGCCGGAGCGATGCAGCCTCTCCTCCGCCTACCGAGGGTGGTGGCAGCACCCCAAAAGCCCCCGGCTGGGGTCCAGCTCTCCCCGTCACCGTGCCGGGTCTGAACATGCGAAATACTCGCGGGTTGGCCCCACTACCGGACTTGGTGAGGTGTCGGCGGTGCCCGGACCCCACCGGTAGTCCCTCTGCTTTGGTCCCAGCACAGCTGCACCCCAAACGCCTTTGGGGAACTGCGTGTGATGCCAAAGTCGCTGCTTTCCGTTTCTTGGCTGTTGGTGGTGGTGCGAAGTGAAGTGACAGCATCCCGGTGCACAGCTAAAACCCCCTCCATGTCGTCCTACGGCAGCTTGCGGGTCCTTGTCCTGCTGTCTCTTACCCTGCTGCAACCTTTGTGTGCACTGCACTGAATGTGCACAGCGGGTCCCATCCGGCAGCCCCTGGCTGAGCCGTGCCCGTGCTCTCCGACCCGTGGGGCTGAGCCATCCTCGTGCGTGGAACCTCCCGCACGCAGGACAGGTCGGCACCAGACCTTAACAGAGATCTCGCCCCAAATCCGAGGGAGAAAGGAAAAGACCTCAAAGATGTAGAGCGGGAAGATGCTTGACTGTAAATACTTTGTACTGCGGATTTGTGTTTTGTGTCTAACAGAACTTTAGCAGCTGGTGTTCAAGTCGAGGGGAGATGTCAGGAATTACAGTGCCAAGAATAGTGTTATGTCTCAAATCCTTCCCAACTTCTTTACCTTTCTTTCTCACTACGTAATGAGGATGGGCACCACTCCTCTCAGCCTAAATACTTAATGAGATAAATGTACTAGCTGAATTCACCAGCACATCAACATTTTTGAGATAGTTCTGTCAACAGCTAGGAGGAATTTTTGCTTAAATGCTAATATCAGAGGAAAAAGATAAAGAAATATTCGTTTTGATTTTTCTTATATATATATATAAAATATGTATATATATTTTGTGTGTGGAAAAAAAGAAGTAAAAGTTGAAAATAAGCTCAGGTTCACTACATAGAAACATGCTTTCCTGGGAGCTTTACAGAGTCTGAAACAAGCAGCAAGACCACTTTGTATTGCTTTTCCTGATGACAGACTGCTGTTTTTGAGATTAATGTGTGGTGGTTTTACCAGGAATTGAGATGTTTTGCATGGTATTGGACCATTTCTGTAGAATAATAATAATAATAATAATTTTAGCATTTCTTAGCTTTCATTCTGAATTATTGAGGGAAAACTTTCACTTTCACTTCTTTGTACACCTTTGTACACTTTTTTTTTTTTTTTTTTTAGTGACCGCTATTTGAAGCTAGTCAGGCTTTGAGGTGATAGGCTAAACCCAGAGTAGTGACAGGAATACAGGTATATGATAAATTAATGTTTTATTAATGCTGGGTTACTGTAGGTCTAGAACTCTTTTGCTTTTAAGTGTTTGATATTAGCATTTACTACTGCTTCCATATGTGCTGTTTTCATGTGGGAGTCCAGGTTTCAGGTGAAAAACAAGGAATGCTTTGTTGGCAAACTGGATAATAGTGTGCTATTAAATCCTGAAAGCAGTGATTCTTTAGAGTAATTTGTATGTGTCTACAAACTTAACTTTCCAGATCATACACTCTTGCTCATCAATGTGTATGAAATTGAGAACAGTGAACAGTGAACAACACCTGGATGCATGTTTATATTGTGGATGTGGGAGTCATGCATACTGGAATTTAGTACTAATTGAGGTAGTAGAACTGTTTTGAGCATGAAAACAACAACCAACACCATACAAACAAACCCTCCAACTATTTGTATTTTCTTTACCAATAAGCTATGAGTTAAACTTGGGACCACTTCTATACTTAATAAGTCATAAACAATTGACATTTATTTATATTGCCTGTTTTTTTTTTAATTTATTATAATTATTATTTTACTTAATACCTCCTCAATATAACTTTGAAAGGTTCAGGTTGTGTCTCACAGTCATTTTTAAAATGCTGAACTTGGAAGTAGCCTTGAAGATTAAATATTATAGCTTGTACCATTAAACAATCTTATATTTGTACACTATGAGCTATCTTATGCATGAGTCTACAAAGTTTTTAATGTATAATATGTATCTTTCTATATTTAAAGTGTTGTATTAACAGACCATGAAATGTCAGTAGACTTAAGGCTATGCTTTCAGAAATGAGAACAGTGGTGAATATTTTAAATACCTTTATCAAATTTCATGGTTATGTGAACAAGGATTTTTCAGTCTGAATATTCCCATAATATTTATTTAGCATACTTTGCTATTATTGTGTTAGAAATAAATCTGGTCCTTCTTCCAGGTACAGAGAGAGACCTTTAGCTGTAGCAGTACTAAGAGCAAGATATGGAAGACTACAAAGATACTGTACTTCATTTGAGCGTGTGAACATGCAGTGACATTGTCATAAGATCACTTTAAAACTCCACCTTCCCTTTGCCCATTTCTGCACACTGGAAAAGAAACTAGTTATGAAGTTGAGGTCTGAAGTTACTAGTGATGAATTTAGAAAGAGTGGAGTCAGAAGCAGTCCCCCGTGAATCACGTACCCACAGTGTTGTGATAGACCTGCACTGGAAAGGGGGTTTAGAGTTTGACCATGGTGCCAGCATTGCTGGGAGGGAAAGGCACTAAGCTGAAGAAAGAATCTGCTTGTTTTAGAGTAGTGATTCTGTGCTGAAGCTTTTTGGTTTTGCCTGGAGAGTTAAGTTCATGAACATACTGCGAGCAAGTCGTAGAAAGCTTTCTGACTCTGAAATTTCTATTTAGTGGAAGGCGTTATGATGCAGATCTTGTATTTATTTCAGCCTGTGATGTTGTCTGAAGGATTTCTGAGTCCTGAACAGATTGCCTTGATCAGCATGGTGGTTGTACTTTTTGCAGTCATGGCAAATATACTGTAATGCCCACTGGCAGCCAAACCTGCTCAGAGGTGTGCTGTCACACCCTTGTCACAGACCTGGCAAAGCCAGCACTGAAGAGGACTTGGTTGTGAAACTTTCAGAGAAAACCTTCCAGGATACAAAAGAAAATGGTACTGGGGATTCAGCAGATGGCCCCCTTGCCTCTGAATCACTTCGGATCCAATGTTGTTAGGGTGCACTGGCTCTGCTTGTGGCTTTTTAAGGTGAGCTGTAAACAGTCTCATTTACTACTTGTTATTTAAAGACCCCTTTGTTGTTTTTTTTTTTTGAAGGAAATAGAAGATTCAGAAAAGCCAGTGCCTTAGCCAATTTCTGACTTGGCTAATTATTTTCCTTCCGTTGCTCCCTGCAGCTTCAGCTGAATACAATATTTTTCACATACTTCTTTACGCTGTTTTCTAATAAGGCTGTCAAGCAGCTGCTCTGTTGCACTTAGGGCTTGCCTAATTTCTTTGGGGGGCAGGGGGTGGGAAATGCTCCAGAGCTATCTTTTCAACAGCACAGTTCTCCCCCCATGTCCAGAGGTTCCAGTAGCAATAAATAAGCACCTTGCAGCTACTTGGAAGTAATGACTGTTTAGTTGATACAAAGCCACAAACATGCTGTTGCAGCACTAAAGTGAGTGTAACCAGGAATGAGTAGCACTTTATTACTCTCTGTAGTGGATAGCAACACCAGGCTCTTGAAAACTTCTTAGAAACTGAAGGGGTGGTTGAGGAATTGGGTACTGTAAGTAGGGAACAGTACCATGCCATGGCACAAGCAGCTCTCCCAGTCTGCTTGAGTCCGAGCGGGAAACACTAGCAAGACTGACTTTGGAGTGAATAGTGTGAGTTTGCTGTTTGCCAGCAGCAAGGAGAGAGGTGTGCCAAGAATGGCTGTGAGAAAGCAATGTAAAAGCTAGATATGGTGCATGTGTACCATATTAAATGTGGTCTAGGTGGCAGCAGATTAAAAGGAGGGAGCCACTGAATGTCCAGGAGATTAGCTGGAAGACCAAATAACTTGGGAGTCTCATATCACAAATCTCTTGTCCCTCAAAGCTGTGTCTGTACCCTCAACAGCTCTAAAAGCAGAGGAGAAGGCTGTGGTGTAGGCACTACTGGGGAGGGGGCACAGGAAGCAAAACATTAAGAAACATAGTAAGAAGTGATCGGTAACAAACCAGAGGCTCAAATAAATCACAGAATCACAGAATTGAAGGAGTTGGAAGGGACCTCTAAAGATCATTGAGTCCAACCCCCCTGCAAAAGCAGGTTCCTCAGAGCAGGCTGCCCAGGTAGGCGTCCAGATGGGCCTTGAATATCTAACCTAGTTTGGTTAGCTTTGTTGGAAGAAAAGCAGAAATAGCAGAAATAAAACACACCAAAAAACTACTGAAAATAATGTAGATCAGGGAAAAAAAAAAAAAAAAAGACGAATAGGAAAGGAAACAGCAGTACTTTCATTCATATGTGCATATGTGTTTGTGTCAAAAGTCTCTGGCAGCTGCCTTGAGAAGAGGTGATCACAGGTCGGGGGGGAGCCTGTGCACTCTGCTGAAAGCATAGAGCAGACAC